ACTGCACGAGGATCACCACTCCTTGATAAACATCATCTGCATTCAGCAGTGCATTTCGCGGACGCTAGTAAAAAAAAAATAATAGTAAAGGAATAGTAGTCTTTATTCCAGCCTCATGAGTTGTGCTTGTGCACTCCACCTCCACATGCGACCATGACAATTGACAACTGTAGCCAGCTTAGCTGAAGAATCAACTCTGAATAGTACATTCTGCAGTGAGGGAGCGAGTTCAGCTGTCAAAAAACGAAGACCAATGTCGTTGTCTGGTTTCAGAGTCAAAGGCTTGACGCATAAAATGGCCAACTCTTTGGTCGCTGACGCAGTGAGCCAGTGACAGTCAGAACAGCTAATTGGCTTGGATGCATGGCGGCACTCTACTCTCTACGGTGTAGCGTTATTGAGGCAGACAAAGCTATGTGTTGTCAATACTTATAGCAGGAAGCAATTTTTGGCAGCTAAAATGGGGAAACAATATATCCATCCGTTTTTAAATATATTACGATACCTAATTAGTTCAATTTAAAAACTTGAACCAATTAGCTTGTCCTAAGTGTCATGCATTCAAAAATTAAGGCAGTAACAGTATAACTGATTGTTAACAATATATTTGAAAACAGAGATAGGGGCTGTTTGGCTCCCAGCCAACGCCCGCCATGCCGCTGTGGCGGCCCTGCCTAAGGTGCGGCGAAGAAAACTGCCACCTAAGCTGTCGCGAGAAGTTGAACTGTGAAAGCTGTGGCGCCCACAAGTTACTTACTAGCCAAACGACGCAAAGAATATCTGTGGCAGCCACGAGCTGTGGCGTGGCGGGCGTTGGCTGGGAGCCAAACAGCCCGTAACAAGATAACTGGAAGTTAACAAATTCTCACAGTATTTGTCAAAATAAAATCCGCTCACTGCCTTGAACGATACAGAGCCTTGTCTCCTTGATGACCTCAACAAGTCACTACACCTTAGTGCAGCCATCGAAGCCAAAGCTGCTCCGGTGTCACCGCGTCAAGCCTTTGACTCTGAAACCAGACAATCACATTAGTCTACGTTTTTGGCAGCTGAACTCGCCCGCTCTCACTGCACTACTCAGAGTTGACTAGTTTAGTCAGCTAAGCTGGCTGCAGTTGTCTGCCACGGTCTCAAGTGTACAGGCGCACTATAGGACCAGTGAACTGGCGTGGTGTTTAAATCCAGGGAGTAAAGTTTATGGATGTCACATCGGATATCATATCGAACGTCATGTGAGAGTATTCGTATAGTAATAATAAAATAAATTATAGAAGTCCTCAATAATCTGCGAGACGAATTTATTAAGTCTAATTAATCCGTCATTAGCATATGTTTACTATAGCACCACATTGTCAAATCATAGACTAATTAGGCTTAAAAAATTCGTCTCGCAAATTAATCACAATCTGTACAATTAGTTATTTTTAGTCTATATTTAATACTCCATATATGTGTCCAACATTTTATGTGATAGGAAGTAAAGAAGAGGAACTAAACAACGCCTAGTGAACCACACGCAGCCATCACCGAGGGAATCGTAAACATGTGGAGGTGAAACTCAACCGAGGCGAGTGAAACCAAAAACTTCCAGACATCATTTTCCTGCCCTTGTTTGTATCCAAATCATTCTGTTAATCGACTGTAACCAGCCTGGAAATCTTACATATGCTGAAATTCAGTGCTGCCAGTCCTTTTTTGCAAGGAGCAGGGTTTGGGTGGCATCCAGTCAGCTGTTCCAGCTCTATCATGGCTGCACTGCAGCCTACGGACAGCACAGATATGGTGCAACAAAGGGACTTACAAAAACAAGAGCAAGAATTGGATGGCTGACCAACTCTGTGCTGTTCACAATATGTTTTTCAGAAACTTGGATAATGTAGTTTAGACACACATGAAACATGGAAGGAGACATGTTTGTCTGCCCACCATCACAGATATCTAAGTGGCACTACTACTATCCATGGAAGCATGATACTGCATACCTGCAGTTAGTTCTATCTAGACTGTGAAATCAAGTATTGCAGCTCTTGCACAAAAGTTTCAGTGTCTTTCACAAAACTTTCATCCTCTTTTCTCTTTCACAACAGACATCTGCATTAACGCCACAAATACAGTCTATTGAGAAGATGAAGAACACTCAACTTTTCACTAAAATCATTGTGCTGAAATGAGCACCACAAACTTGCCGTTTTTCTTGCATTGATTTGCTATTGAATAAGAACTAAACCTCTTAGTATAGAATGTTCAAATACATCATTGGTGTAACGGGCTGGACCTGACCTGACTACAGTATCAAGTCTTTTGGGCTTTAGCAAGGGTAGGTTTTCTATCTAAAAAACCAAAGCAGGCGAGGCAGGTTGAAACATACAGAGATCTTGTTAAGTGGGAGAATCTCTGTTTCAAAGGCGTCGCCTAGGTGTCCAGGCAGACCAGCTCGCCTTGGCGGTCTAGTTACGCCTAGTAACTTTTGAAACCATGGGGAGAATCAATCCATGATTCGCATTATTGCATAGAGAAGAGCTAAGACAGAAGGATATAACACCTGAAACATGTAACCCTCACATATAATTCAACCCTTTTCTATGAACATATACTTCACCCGTTCCTGGTTCCTCCAGCATAGCTGGGAAGTGGTAACAAGCATCGCTACTATTTCTTTTGGTTCAATCTAGTGATAAATAATGGAGTTCGGTAAGGTGTAGTTTCTCTTTTTCAATGACCATTTCAGCACCTACCCAATGATTTTTTTTTTCAAAACATATTCAGAATCTCAGAAATAGATCTCAAATGTGCAATAAGAGATATTCCCCTGTACTCCTACTCTGCAACAGTTTGGTTGAATACCTGATTTGATTCGGCAAATACTTTACGACTAAGAGTCTAAGATGCAAAGCAAAACTTGACACTGATTTAATCATATTCCAACCTAGAATCTCACACAGAGTTCCATTTAGCTTGTTCTTTCCTCAAAATTTAAAGGGAAGGGAAAACTGGGTTTATCGGTGACTAAAGAAGTGTCAAGGTGAAGCAGTGTAGCCAAGTAGGCAAGCACAAAGCCACGGACGAACAGAGAGGAGATATCCCTCTGATTTCGTCCTAAAGAAGAGTACCTCCGCTTTGAATCTGCGGCTCATACAGGGTTTCATTTCCCCTGAAGTTCATCACTTTCATCCCGCTACTGTTGCACCGCGAGAACAAACTTCTTGACTTTTGAATTTATTGTTCAATACAGATACAAAGGCCTAAATTATATTAATTGATGGATATCTTCCTTTTGGTTCATTTTTATTCATTGGATTGGAAAGATCGCATTTAAGAAAATAAAGCTACCAAGCATGGATATGTGTACAAAGTAGTAATATCTATCCTGAAAAGTTGAAATGGCTAAATTAAAAATTACTAATAGGATACTATCCAGATAATCCCACCGTTATGTCACACAGGAACAAGCTATTCATCTACAAATTGATCTCCACATCCTATGGTTACAGCTTCACTAGAATTCACGGAAGAATCAGGATTTAGAGGGGTTATAATAAGTTAAGAAAACCAACATAAGACAAGTATCCATAAATTGAACCAATCTGCTCCACTCCTCTATCACGCCAATGTACACAAATTGACACCTCTAGTAAATGTAGAACAACTAAAAAATGAACACCTTATTCTTTATTGCAGTAAATTACTCCTAACAAACACAGAAGCACTCATGTGACATAGTTCATCTTAGTTCTCATACCACACCAAATGAAGAGTTTACAAGTACTAGAGCAGACATGTTTTACAGGCGCCACTAAAATTAACACCCAATCATCAATAGTGTACATGTCAACCAGATGTCCAGACATAAATTTTCAATCACTTCAATCTACCTGCGGGCTACTGGCCAGTGCAAACAGCACGGGTCAGTCGAGGAATCCAGTCTTCCGCCAGACAGCATTGCGTACCTGGCGGAGATCCCGCCCCTTCAGCGTGCGCCCGGCTCCCTCCAGCACTGAGAACGTCGTCATCGGCGACTCCCGAGCCCTCGCGCGCGCTACCATCTCGTGTGGCGGTAGCATCTCGTCGTCTTCATCCTCCGCTTCCCCCATCACCGTCACCACGGGCGGCTTCCGCAGCTGCGCCACAGGGACGTTGACCGGCAATGATTGCGGCATATACGGCGCCGGCGCCGGGCGGGGAACGGCGGGGATCATGCGGGGAGGGGCCGCAGCCGGGGAAGCGGGGGACGAGGACGTCGACGAAGAGGATTGAGGCGGCGACCGGCGGCGCTCGGGGAGGGCGTCCAGGATGCCCTCCGGCGGGCGGCGTAGGCGTGGAAGAGGGCTAGGGTTTGCAGGGCGGACGGAAGACAAGATAAATGGGCGGCGCACCGGCTGCGGCGGCTCGGGCGAGCCAGATCCTGCGGAGAAGAGGTCGTCCTCGTCAAGCTCGAAGGCCGTAGAGGCAGATTGTTCGCCGGAGGCTGCGGAGAGGACGAAGGAGCCGAGGAAGCGCTCGGAGCTGAGGGAGCTCCTGTGGCGCGCGCGATCCATGGTTGAGCTGCGGAGCGTGTGCCGTCGCGTGTGCCAGTGGGGGAGACGTCACGTCACTGGTGAGAGGTGGCGAGACGGCGACGAGCGCGCAGGTGATCAGCGAGAATTTAACGGGAGGCGTACCGATGCAGACTTGGGGTCCACGAGTCTGTGGCGGAGCCAACCATTTGGAGAAAACGAGAGGCGAGGCAAGAGATCTTGCCAGGGTGTTGAGATTCGTGCACCGTTTCGACGGATCCGATTCTGGACCGACCACTCTTGGGCCCAGTCCAGCGCGGGCTCGGGCCGAGCCGGGACTCAAGCCCGCGTAATCGCGCTCCCATCTACAACAAAAAAACCCACGGAAAATACAAGGAATCGAGGAAATAAAAATCCTTTCCCTTTTCTTCTGAAGTCGTCCTCTTCTTCCCGTCGCTTCGCCGTGCCGCACCAGGGAGGAGAGGAGGCTTCGCCGCGAAGCTCGCCATGATCTCGCCGGTAACCACTATACCCGCTCCTCCGCCTCATCTCTGCTGCCGCGCTTCTGACAGTTGGTTCCGTCGGCTGGAAATTGGTACTGAATCTGTCTATGGGGCTCTCGCAGGAGAGGAGCTCGTCACAGAGCCCGCGGTCGCCGGCTGCGGCGGCGGCGGGGGCGCCGTTCCTGTCGATATCCGTCACGGATCCCGTCAAGATGGGCACCGGCGTGCAGGCCTACATCTCCTACCGCGTCATCACCAGGGTAAAAATCGTGTTTGGTCTCGGCTACCAAACCACTCGTGAGTTGCTCCTGGTTTAGTGATTGATTTTTTGTAACATGGTGCTCATCGAGCATATGCTTTGCTTGTTCCCGTGCGGGCTTGCCTAATTTTAGTTTTTGCACAGTGTGTGTGGAGGTATAAAAACTTTTGGATTATGACCTCCTAATATAGATCTGGAACTAATGTCGGATGTAATTCAGTAGTAATTGGAGCTCATTGGTTTGCGAAGCTCATGTGTCGTTCTAGATTTGAGTACACCATTAATCAGTAGAGCTATCAGCAAAGTGTTTGCTGGGGAAAGAAAACAGTGGGAAATCAAATTGTGTTCCTGAAACATTAATTGAAATCGAGTGGCAATGAAGAACAAACTATGTGGCACTAGGGCTATGAAGGAAGGTGGTGTTATGACTTGACTGGTGGTTGTGTGTTGAGTTTGTGAAAAATGTATATTGAAGTTACAATAGAGACCAAAACAGTATCAATTAGATGAAAGATTCTATCTAAGCAACTTAACGATGGGAATGGCATGATAATCTTATGTCTAATAGCCAGTGACTGCACTTTTCTTGTACCGACATATGTGACTTGTTCACCTTCAACACTTGTTGATTTGCCAATCCAGTAACATTTGTTTGTGCAGACTAACCTCCCTGAATTTGAGGGACCAGAGAAAATTGTTATTCGACGCTATAGTGATTTTGAATGGTTGCATGATCGGCTTGCTGAGAGGTACAAAGGCGTTTTTATACCTCCCCTTCCTGAGAAGAATGCTGTTGGTAAGATCCTAAACTATGATTTTTGTATCAACTTTTTTTCATTTAATCTCTTGAGGACAAGGAATCTCTGGATTGCTGTTGTAGCGATAATGCATCTGTTTTGTTTGCTGATCTATTTCTATTCATTTCCTTCAGAGAAATTCCGGTTTAGCAAGGAGTTCATTGAATTGCGTCGTCAAGCTCTGGATTTATTCGTTAACAGGATAGCTTCACACCCTGAACTCAAGCAAAGTGACGTCTTGAGGACATTTTTGCAGGCAGATGAAGAGGTAAAACATTTTGATGCAGATGAGCAGACTGTTGCGCCTTTTCTTGTGCGTTTATTTGGATTCTTATTGAGAATTGACTCAAAACTTTGTTGGATAGGTTCATCACGAAATCGGTATCGGTATTTAATTAGTTTATTAGTTTGTTTTCATAAACCCACGGTTCTTGAAATCTGAGTATTGATTAATTTTTGAGAAATGTGAATTGAAGTCTTTTGGCATTTTCTTTCGATGAAATTCTCTTGGCATGATATGCATAGGTGTCCTTAGGATAGCTGCCAATAGCCACATAACTCTTATGTCTAGTGATCATTTGACCTGATTTCTTGCTGAAATTTCCATCACAACATAAATAATTAGTAAGTCAGATATATCCGCTGTGAAGGTTTGATAGTTTGAGTATGTTATATGAATTCAACTGCTGGCTTTGCAATAGTCATTTGCAACCTTCTACCTCACAGCCTTGGGTGATGGTTGTCTTATAACTTTCTATATCCATGACTCCATGCCTTGCACATCTCATTCTTTTGACTAAATGATTCATTGATGGTTACTTGGTTTTGATGGCATTCCTTCTGCTCATGTTTCTTTTTCCTATGCTTTTGAAGCAGATAATGGATAGGGCAAGATCTTATGAGACTGGTATTTTTAAGAAACCAGCAGATTTCTTACAGATATTTAAGGTACCGTCTCTCGTATGTCCAGTGAGACATCCTTGCTACTTTCTGAACACTGTTCTTAGTTCTTACAGGATTATAACCAACATTATGCTGTATAGCTCCCCTCTGTCCCTATGACTATTGATATCGCATTTGCATGTTAACAATCGTGGCATCATTTTTTTAGGATGTACAGTCAAAAGTCAGTGATGTTGTTCTGGGAAAAGAAAAGCCTGTGGAGGAATCTACTCCTGAATATGAGAAGCTTAAAAATTACATATTTGAGCTAGAAAATCATTTAGCAGAGGCCCAAAAACAAGCATACCGTCTTGTGAAAAGACACAGAGGTATATCAGTTGGTCCTTTGAAAAGGCCCTTCATTACTTCTTTGAGTTTCTTCATGTTTAACATACATTGCAACTTTACAATTTCTTTTTCATGGTGAGATTGTTTTGACTAATTTCAGCAAACAAATAATGTTTGTTCGAAATTTAGTTTTCCAAAAATAAATAGATAAATGATCTGGCTTAAACATCATGAGGAACTAACTCAAAGACAATCAATAAGACCCTCAATTTTTTTTCCTGGTTGCTTAACTGGATAGCAAGATGAGTTACACAGTCCTAATTTTGATTCATTAGAACTTGGGCAATCTTTGGCGGACTTCGGAAAGGCGATTAAGCTCTTGGGCGCTTGTGAAGGAGATTTGATGGAAAAGGTGTTTTCTGAAGTTGGTTCGAAGTCAGAGATGTTGTCAATAAAGATGCAAAGAGAGGTAATCATGATATACTCTTACATAGTACTGCTTGGTACTGTATGTCTTACGGAACAGTTTATATCGATGTTTCTGTGACCTGATCATGTTGGCACACTTCTACTGTAGGCAGACAACCTTCTCTTTAACTTTGAAGAATCCTTGAAAGATTATGTGCGTGCTGTACAATCTATAAAAGTGAGCGTTTCCCTCTCTTGCCATCTCTATGGTATCGCATTATTTGTTGTGATGTCAGAAATTTTAACTAAATTGGGTTTCATTACAGGCCACTATGCTGGATCGAGCCAATGCTTTCAGGCAGCACTTTGATTTGGATCAGGAGAGGAAGTATAAAGAACTTAATCTGTACGTTTTGCAAAGTCTATTTTCTTTTTTCCTGCCCAGTCTAGAATAATGTCAAGTAATGAGGAAAATAGGAATCCCTGTGTGTTTACAATACCAAATTCAGGGTCCTCAACAAACTAGGACTCCCTAATTTATTAGTAATGCTGATCTCATGGCTGTTACATACTGCAACTTAAGAACTTTCTAATGCTGTTCTCACTGCAGTGAAAAATTGAAGTTTATGAATCCTGAGAAGTATGCCGAAGCAGAGTCTGAGTTTAGAGAGGCAAGTTGCTGTAACTTCTCATTGAGGAATTCTTGATGTAGTCGTGTCGATGAGGTTTACTGAAGTTCTTGTTCACTGATGTCTTGTTCTTCTTACAGTTGAAAGCAGACAGTGAGGAGGCTACGAAGAAGTTTGAGCACATAGTTAGACTAATGAATGAAGAGCTCGCTCGTTTCCAGGAGCAAAAGACAGCTGATACTGGACTTGCATTCCATGAATTTGCCAAGGGTCAGGCTAAGCTAGCTAAAGACATTGCGGATGCATGGCGCAGCGTCCTCCCGAAGCTCGAAGCTTGTTCCACATCATAAATGTGATTTGTGTTTCCTCATGATGTTTGGGAATTGGGATAGGGGTTGGCAGCTGGTGAGTTTTTGGCTGTTTTTTCCCAGCCTGTTTTGACACTGATCCCTGTATACTTGAACTGCTGTTTGGAAATGCTCCAGCTGTTAGATTCAGTTGACATCATTTCTTGCTGTTTGAGCTTGTAACCGTTTTCTTTTCTTAGATCAATTGACATAGCTACTGGAATCACGTAATAATGATATAATCAATAATGAAGAAATGCTGTACCATGGTGCAATTTCCTGTAGCTTGATTTGTTTTATTCCTGAAGTGCTCATGAGAGAACTAGAATAGCAGGATCCAGAGGGCTCTTAGTAGTTACAGAGATGCAGCCCTTAATCGTGTGCCATTTACACGATCAAACTTGAGCAATCTGAATACACTTTTGGAGAGCCTCAAGGAGGCTTCTCATGATCCTGGGCTCCCCAGGTGGCTGCTTGTCCTTCATAGGACCGTTCCTGATCGCTTGGAATACCAGCCCGGAGCCGTCCGGCGCCGGAGAAACCAGGCAGTCGATGTAGACCAGCGTCTGCGTCGCGCCGTCCTCGACCGCGATGAACCCTAGCCTGATGCCGCCCTCAACCTTGTCTACCTGGTTGCACACGATTTTTTTCCCATCAGGTGAATAAATCTGGATCGGCAAGCAATATCAGTAGCTCGCTATTGTTTCCTACCTTGAGAGGCACCGGAAGTGGCAGGTTGGCGCCTTGGCAGAGGCTGTTCCCCCACTGCCAGCGTCAAACAGCATCAGTCTCAGTTACGCTAGAAAGCACCGAAAAAAGGAAGCACGGAGGGAGCTCGTACTCTTTCAGGCAGCACGACACGAACAAGGCTAACCTGGAAGAGCAAGGACTCGAACCGAGCGATGTCGATGTTGCCCGGCAGCTTCACGGTGCCGAGGCTGACCCCGTCGTCATCGTCGCTGGCCGGGACAATGCCGCCCTTCCCTGGCGCGGCGCGCGGCGGCTTGACGGCCAGTCTGGCCCTCAAGCCGGGGAGCTTTTCACGCTTCCTCCAGCATGCGGCGCCGCGGAAGGGGGACTTGCCGGCGCACGGATGCCTCTGCTGCGCTGTTGACGAGCAAGAAGAGCTAGGTAGATGAGTCAGCAACATCTCTGCCGCCTTGCAAAGCTGCAGGCTGCCTGCAGCTGCGCATACACGCTCTCTTCGGGGGGAGCGCTGTGTATTCGTTCGTGAGAATTGTAAGGGCAAGAATGGATAAGCTGATGGGCCTGAAGCGAACGGCTCGGCCTCACGTCTCACGGGATGTGTGTGGTTGGCTTGACCTGGCGGATCCTGGCCGTTGCTCCAAATACTAAATACAGAGTACTTAGTATTGAAGAAATAAACTCAAGAGCTCCAAATTGACATCAAATGACAGTTTGGCTGAGTGTCTAAGGCGCTAGATTTAGGCTCTGATCCGAAAGGTTGTGGGTTCAAATCCCACAGCTGTCATTTTTTTGCTCATTTCTTTTTTCTTTCTTTCTTTTTCTTTCTTTCTTTTTCTTTCTTCTTTCTTTTTCTTTCTTCTTTTTCCCCCTCCATCTTTTTTCTTTCTTTCTTTTCTGGCACGAATTGACTTTTTTCTCTCTATTTTTTGGTAACTATTGCAGGCTCTGATCTTGGTTTTTTTCCTACAAGGAAGGACAGTTTATCTGCAACACGAATAGGTGTCATCAGTGCTTGTGAGCTCAACGTATATTGACCTCATGGATTAATCAATATGATCCTGCAAATAAACAAACACGAAATAAGCAGTAGGATAAATAGATGGAACATTGATTAAACTAACTTGAAGACATAGGCACAATCTGAGCTGCTAAACTCTTCTACATCTACCTGATGTTTGAAAGGTTAGGTATCTTTTTTATTCTAATAAAGGTTTCCTCATCTACAATTATAAATCACATACATTAGCTTAATTTTCAAGAACAAATTCAAGTGTAAATGTGATTAGATATACATACCAATGAGAAGAGTGGTACTGGAACTCCATCTTGGCCATCTGCTCAAGCATAGTCAAATACTAAGCACTACATATCTATACATGAACATCTCGTGCCCTCTAAAGATCATCAGTCTATATTCCCAAGTTACATGGGAGTTAATTTTCATCACAGGCTATACAGAAAAAAAAATCCATCACTTGCACCAAGCATCAGGGGAAAATTTTGCATCACAGGCTATACAGGAAAAAAAAACAATCACATACCGGGCTAAAACGATCACAGGTACACTGCACATGCACTAATTTATCAAACTCACTGATATATTAAGGACCTGTTTGGCACGGCTCCTCCTGAGGGGCTCCTCTGTTTTTTACTGAAAAACGGCTCTTCCAAGAAAACGTTTGGCAGGGCTCCTCTGGAGGAGCCGGAGCCGGAGAGGAACCCTGCCAAACAGGTCCTAAGTAACCAACAGTCTTGTGCACACATGTTAGCCTAGTATAAAGCATCATGCTTTTCTGTAGCCTTCTATTCATTAGGACCGAACATTGTCAAACATGCATAAAGAGAGATGATCAAAGACAAAGAGAGATGATCAAAGATCTGACCAAACACATAGAATATAGGGTTGAGTTGCAGTAGGACGATTGGGCCTGATTGATTTCTATTTGACAATCGATTGATTCTTCTTCGAATTCGAATCGCAGGAACCAGCCAGATCTACGAGTCCGAGGATGCCGGAGCAGCGTACGTCTAAGGATACACCTCTGGATAATCCATCCGCAAGGTGAGCTTTGTTAGCTAATCTACTGTCACCTTGTGTGAATACAGCAGAGGAAGGCGGCGTCGACTTAGCTGCCTGCTGTGTGTGAACACAGCAAGGGAAGGCGGCGCCGACTTTGCCCCTCGCTGTGATCATGATGGCAGCTGCAGGTGCGGCCCGCCGCGGCTCACCTCTGACCTTGTAGGAACAGGCGGTGGCTTGCGCAGCAGATCGAGTCACTGCCGGGTTATCTAGTTACTGTGCCAGCATGGGCGCTGCACATGGACTAGATAGTTAGAGTTGTATAAATAGACATGTATGGCAACTTAGTAAAGAGAGCTCAGATTTGCCATCACACAGATAGGGCATCGGCCAACGTTGTTGTCTTGTATTGTGCATGCTTGTTCTGTTCTCCCTTCTTCTTCTAGCTCGATCCATAGTGTGTGGGTATGAACACAACCGGTATAGTGGTCTAGGAAGACTAGTGGTCTGGTCTGGGAGACTAGTGGTCTGGGAAGACTAGTGGTCTGGTCTGAAAGACTAGTGGTCTGGGAGACTAGTGGTCTAGTCTGGGAGACTAGTGGTCTGAGACTAGTGGTCTGGAGACTAGTTCACTATCGTCAGACGGTGATCCCGTGGGCCAACAAGTGGTATCAGAGCCGTACAAGCGCCGTCGTCATTCTAACCGATGGCGAGGACAGGCAGTTCGAGTTGGGCGACGGCAGTGGCACTGTCGTGGCTGCCCAGCCACTACCGGAGATAGTTGTCCGCACGGTTGAAAGGTCCTTGTTGGTTTTGGTAATTGAGTGACAACCTAGGTGGACTAATTGTGTTTATGTGAGATACACAGGTGATTAGTCCACAGGTACATGTGTATGAGCAACATATGTCATGGAGGTGAAAATGGCTTGGAGATGTTGCAAAGCTCACACATGTGATGATGAAGGAGCTTAATGCACATGAGACATGACATTGAGTCATGTGATCAAGGTGGAGAAGATCAAGACAAGACTTGGCTTGATGGACCTGTTGCAAGCGTGAAGGGCAAGTCGAAGGCTTTGGAGTGATGGACCGCGTGGCGGTGAAGCTTGAGCAAGACTTGGCGCCGATGGACGATGGCAACGGTGAAGGGCAAGTGAAGTCAAGATCGATGAACCAATATGATCACGTGATGATATGAAGTGGATCATATCATTGTTGATCGTGTTGGTGCATGTGTTGCATCGACATTGGAGGAGATGGAATGGAATACGCAAGGCAAAGGTATAACCTAGGGCATTTTATTTCACCGGTCATAGGTGTGTAGAGAAGTTTATGACCGGGTTTAGGATAGATGGCCGTACTATCAAAAGGGGCAAACTTGTTTGTATATCGGTCATCTAGTGCCACTCGAGTGATCTAACTTTGCATTGTCGCTAGGATCGAGTGGCGTGGCAAGTTGAGTGGCTAACATCCTTTGTGAAATGATTGTGAAAATGCTAACACACATACACATGGTGGTGTACACTTGGTGGTGTTGGCACATTTACAAAGGAGGTGGTGTTTGGTGTTTGGGTCCCTCTCTCCTCCCCGAAGCAGCTTGCGGGATTCGCTTTCGGGAAAATAGAATGCCTATTTTCTATTGGCGCGGATGCAAGTTCTTGTGGTTAGCACATTAGAATAAGGGTGAAGAAGTTAGAAGTGAAAACGAGTTAGTCGCGAAGATCTTTGGCGTCGGTCAACCGACCGACACGGGATCTGATCTGAATGCACCGGACGCCGGCCGGCAAGCGCGTCGGTCAGCCGACGACGACGTCACGTTAATGGCCGGAGTATGACCGGATCTTGGTTGTGTCCGATCAAGTGTGACCGGACGCGTCCGGCCGAGGTCGGTACTTTCTTGAAACGACCGGACGCCGGGAGTTCAGCGTCCGGTCGGGTGAAAAGTTCTAACGCGTCTGGTCAAGTCAAGTGACCATTGGAATCGTGACACACGTGGGTCGTCTGCGCGGGCGGCCGACGACCGAGGTCCAGCATCCGGTCAACACGACCGGAGCATCCGGTCGGCCCGACCGTTGCCCAGTGAAGGGGTAACGGCTAGTTTAGCCCTTGGGGCTATAAATAGAAGTGGCCCTCGGCCATGGCTAGGGCTGAGCACCTCAAGGGACTTAGTGTCCATGCTTGTGAGTGCTTGGGAGCCCTCCATCACACACATACTTGATAGCGATCATCCGATTGTGTGAGTGAGCGATTCTAGTGCGATTGCATCATGAGGTTGCATCGAGTGGCACTAGGTGATCGAGTTGCGAGCCGGTGGTGCTTGTTACTCTTGGAGGTTGCCACCTCCTAGACGGCTTGGTGGTGGTCTCCATCGAAGCGCGCAAGAAGCTTGTGCGGCGCTCCGGAGAAGTGCTTGTGAGGGGTACTTGTGCTCGCCCCGCGGGAGTCGCGAAGAGCAACTTTAGTAAAGCGTGTCATTGAGCTACCCTCACTCAAGGGGTAGGTTCTTGCGGCGCCCGACGTGCGGGCTTAGCGGGTGATGCTAATTAGCCACGAACCACCAAGTGAGCAATCGACACAAACGGGGACTAGCGTGTTGGCAAACACGTGAACCTCGGGAGAAAAAACATGTCGTGTCAACCTTGTTCTTCCCGTTGGTTTGCATCCCACAAGTTTTAATTCGCATATATATATATATATCTTAAGCTTGTGTAGTTGTGATTAATTAGATTTAGAAAAGACTATTCACCCCTTGCTCTAGTCCGCCATCTGGTTTTAGTAACCTTGTTAGTCCATTGCTTACAGCTAAGTATTTACGCTCTCTAATTAGGCGTTGGTTGCCTTGTTATTGGCATTGCTAGTGAGCTTAGCACCACTTGTGCCATGTGTAGGAGGTCCCTTGTTACTTAAAGTACTAGTGGCATAGGTTTTGTGTGACCTTGCTATGGAGTTTAGGAGAGCTCTAGCTGACCATGAATCTTTGGTCAAGCTTGGCTAGACCGATTGTTTTAATTCTGGTTGACAACGGATTAATTTTAGAAAAGACTATTCACCCCCCTAGTCCGCCATCTCGACGTGGGAAGAACTTGACGACATGTCGGCTAACTTGGAGGCTATCCTCGAAGCAAGCCAGCTGCAAGGGCACCGACGATGTCAAGGAGGCTATCCTCGGAGTATAGGGAGAACCGTTGGGGACGAAGAGCTCAGCTAAGGAGGCGTGGGAGGCCATTGCGGCGATGCGCGTCGGTTCCGACCGCGCAAAGAAGGCAACGGCCCAACTTCTAAAGTAGGAGTATGCAAACCTCAAGTTCAAGGATGGTGAAACAGTGGAGGACTTTTCCCTCTGCCTACAGACGCTCATCAGCAAGCTGACAAGCCACGGCGTCACCATCGACGAAGAGGAGGTGGTCTCCAAATTCCTCCAC